GCTTTAACTATGTTCAGAAAGGATACAAGAAAGTTTCAAGCATGGAGCAATGGATAATATGGGAATCGATTTGCGAAACAAGAGTCCAGTGTCTGAGAGCATACTACCACTGGTGTAATGGTCAAGTATCTCTATATATAATTCTTGTTGATTTAAAATTACCTTGTGCACTTTAATTTTTAGTTGGTGTGAAGAACAAGAATACAGAAATGTTTTCCCTGACATTAAATCATCGCAAGACGCTTTAGTCAGTTCAGTGCTTTTAAAATATAGTTACTGTTATAATACAGGCAATGGGGCAACCAGGTTACACATGGCAAACTCCCACAAACAACAATATAACAATGATAGTAGGAACTGCAGATGCTGGTGAATCCGAGACAACAAGGTGCAGGGCTGAATGAACACAGCAGGTCAAGCAGCATCATAGGAGCAGAGAGGCTGACGTTTCGGGCCTAGACCCTTCATCAGAATGACCTGTTTTTGGGTGTTGTTTGAGGAATAGATGTTGATCCCTGCAAGAGGAGAATGTTCCTGCTCTTCAAACAAATTAGTGTAATTGTATTTTTTTATTCTGATAGATGTGATTACATAAGCTCAGCTACAGAAGTGGAGCAGAGACATAAATTCCCTTAAAAGCCAGATTGCAGAACTGCTGAAAGATTATTTGATGGATAAAGAATGAACAATCTGCTCTGAGGGATGATGTTATTTTTGGATGTAGCTCTCAAGTGTTACCTTCTCTTAATAAAGAGCGGTGTTGGTGTCACTGTTAAAAGCATTGAATGTCAGTTGAAAATTAACAGACCTTTAGTTAAATCTGAGTACCATTATTCACCATGAATTTTGACTGTTTTATTAATGTGTACATTCTTTCCAGTGGGGCTTAACCCAGTTTTATTGTTATTTCAGGTTGCTGTGAAAAACAACATTGACGTCTTCTATTTCAGCTGTCTGATTCCACTGAATGTGCTGTTTGTGGAGGATGGGAAAATGGGTGAGTGCTGGCAGTAACTATGCGTTTAGAGACATTAAATTGTCAGCTTTCTTTACTGTGCTGAAAGGTGCAGATATTTTCAATTGCTGTTTGTTTGGAAAGATATGTATATATTCCATAGAATTTAGAACACAAAAACAGGCCATTCAGCCCAACTGGTTTATGCCATTAGCTTCGCTGTATATAAGCTTCTTCCCATCTTACTTCATTAAATCCTACCAGCGTATACTTCTGTTTGAAAACAGAAATTTTCAACCATCCTTCCTGCTTTGTGCCTTTTTTGCTGTTCTTTACTATTTGTCTCAGTTAATCAATATGACAGCACACTCCACTGTCTAACCAGGCTGGTAAAGAATTTAAATTTCATTTTAAATGTAATGAATTTAATTTAAACCATTGTTCCACATTCTATTACAAGGCAACTCTCTGCTGAATATGTGATTTGGTATATGTCCCTTATTTAATTGACTTGGGTCAACAAAGACACCATCGAGAGGCACATTCAATAAGGAAGGAATAGCTCCTCAGCTACCAATTATTATTCCACTGTTGAAAAAAAATTGCTGAATTAGATGAAGGTGATTTTATTTTTATCAGGACACAGCAATTAACAGCAGTTCACCGGTGTTAAAAGGGTGCCATCTGTTCTCCAGTGGTTACCAGATGAACGTTTTATTCCTAGCACTGCTTTTTTGGTAGCACTCTCATCTCTAGGTCAGAAGGTTGTGGGTTTCAACCTTACTCAAAGATTTGAACACAGTGTAGGCTGACAGGCCAGGGTTGTACTGAAGTAGAGCAGCATTTTCAGAGGTGCCATCCATTCGAAAAGTGTTAACCTAGTGCCTTTCTCCCTATTATGATGATGTAGATCGTTGTTCATGTTTATCAAAACCGATGTGTACAAGATGACTGCCATTTTGAGGCATTTGACAGAGGCATCATTCGGCATGAATCCACATCTTTCCCAAATGCAGCTCGAGAGATTACTTTGAGAAATGCACGCCCCCTATGTTATACTGAACCTGCCAATCTGACTGTTCCAGGTTTGATCTCTTTTGTACTGTCAAATTAAGTTGGCCAGGGAGATGTGGCTGAAATGAGCAACAGGTTTGGGCTGGGAAATCAATGAATGTTCAGGAGCTATATTCAATGATCATCCATGTGTTAATGTAAAACATTCCCTCAAGCAATGCAGCTTAACGTGGAGCCTTTGATAGAATCACAGAGATGTACAGCTCGGAAATAGACCCTTTCATCCAACCGGATATAAATTAATCTAGTCCCTTTGCCAGCATTTGGCTCATATCCTCTAAACTCTTCCTATTCATGTACCAGATGCCTTTTAAATGTTGTAATTGTACCCGTCTCCTCCACTCCCTCTGGCAGCTGACTCTATTCATGGACTATCCTCTGATTGAAAAAGTTGCCTCTTTTATATCTTTTCCCTCTCACCTTAAACCTAGTTTTGGACTCCCCTACCCTAGGAAAATAACTTTGGCAATTCACCCCTCGTGATTTTATAAACTTCTATAACATCACCCCTCACCCTCCGACACTTCAGGGAGAATAGCCCCAGCCCATTCAGCCTCCCCCAATTGCTCAAACCCTCCAACCCCGGCAACACCCTTGTAAATCTTTACTGCACGCTTTCAAGTTTAACAACATCTTTCCTATAATAGGTTATGGAATTTTAAAAATGTGTAGAACAGTTAAGCTCAGTGACTAAGTTTTAATTTCACAGATGATATTGTCTTCTGTTGCCTATCCTAATTGCTTTTGAGATTTCGCTGCTGAACCATCTTCTTTACTCATATAGTCCAAGTGGTGTAGATCCAGACACAGTGCTGTTAGGAAGGGAATTCCAGGTTCTTGACTTATATCGTTTCTAAAGCTTTACTTTGAGGTCTATAACCATGACACAAGATGCTGCTGAGTTTCTTCAGACCTGCAACAGTTATGGCCTCAATCTTCTTCCAATGTGCTCAAAATCATTAGAGTACTTACTTAGCAGTTTGTTTTACAAGAAAGCATACAGCTGCAGCTTAGTTAATTTGAAAAATTCTGTCCAAAGAATAGTGGTCAACTCACTTAGTATCCATTGTATGATTTTTCTTTTTTTAATAGTTCACAAAATATTGTAGAAAATTGGTTTGAAGGAAATGAAGTCCAGCCATCTGAAGAAAGGTGGATAAATATCAAGAGAAATACAGCTATTTGCTCTCAATACTTTCACGATTAAAGTCACCTCATTGGTAGACGTTTCTCATGCTAGCGCAGTCGTTGGCAGTATTAAAAATGGCAAGCATGAGAATAAGCATGTCATTTGTTTAACCTTCTCATATAGTGTAACTTTCCCATTACAACTTCTTAACTGCATTTCAAGTAGTGTTGTTTTCACAACCTCTAATTAGTGAGGTCTATTAGTACATTGGTATGAAGTTTCCCAACATAATTAATGTCTGTACTTTGTAGGCATACATTGTGCCATGCCTTTAATGCATCAAAATGCAGTATTGCTATCCCAATCCTGCTGGGCAAAAATTTCATTGGCTTAAATGACGACCAATTAAGTATATGATAGGCTAAACGTGAATGAATAGGAAGTTGTTGCTGACATTTTTCCTCCTCCGAGAGGAACATTGCCAAAGCTGTCATTGGAGTCCAAACAGCAACTGGAACATGTGGGAAAATAAAAGCACAAGCATGTGCACCATCTGTCCCAGTCTACCATTTCCAAAGTAGCGAGAGCCCACCAAATAAATTAAAATCAATAGGCATTTTTTTTAAATACAATTACGTACAATTTTGTGAAGTTAGTCTGAGGTGAAATTTGCACACAGCTTAAAATTCAAAAGTTTGTTGTATAAGTTGTACTTAGAACATAGACATTAGAGCAGAAGTAGGCTATTCAACCCATCAGGTCTCCTCTGCCATTCAATGATATCATGACTGATCTGATAATCTTCGACTACTTTGGTGCCTTTTCCTCATTTCCATTGATTCTGTTATTATTTGACTCAGCTTTGAAACGCCTGACAAAATCCTTTAAGAACGGTTTCAGAACATAATGCCAATTCTTGCTATTGAGAGCTGTTGTGCAGATTTATAACTTCAAAGAAAATATTTTTTGAGAGAAGCAAACTCCTCCTTTAGGAGTTTGAGCCTCTGTTTGGAGAATCTTTTTGGAGATTCGATTGTCCAGTAGAGTTTTACAGTGTTGAAAGCAGCACAGAAATAGCCTGGGTCGGGTTGTGCATGGTCTTGAATTAAACAGCTGCTGTATTTATTTCCTTTATTCTTTCTTGGGATATGAGTGTTACTGAATAAGTTGGCAATCATTACCCACCCTTAATTGTGCTTGAATTGAGTGGCTTGCTCAGCCGTTTCAGAGGGCAGTTAAGAGTCATAGGGTCGTGCAGCATGGAAACAGACCCTTCGGTCAAACCAGTCTGTGCCAATCATAATCCCAAACTAAAGTAGTCTCACCTGCCTGTGCTTAGCCCATATCCTACCAAACATTTCTTATCCATGTATTTATCATCACGGTGGGTGTGCAGTTAGACCTCAGCCAGACCAGACAAGTATAGCAGATTTTTCCTTCCCCATAAGACATTGGTGACTGAGATGGGTTGCCGTTAAACTCGCTTTTAACTTACACATTTTATTAATTGAATTCAAATCCCACCAACTGCCCTGGTATGGTAGGAGCCTATGCCCCCAAGCACCTGTCTCAGACCTCTGTTTTATTATTCTAATGATAAACTGTACACAGCCATTTCCCTTGAGTGCGGCTTTAGCTGCTTTCTTTGAGGTTATGCATGTCTTCTGAGCTTGTCGGTTACTTTAGATCACTCTTGAACTCTCTTCCTAGTTTGCCCATAAATACAGGCCAGCCATTCACCTCTGCCCCACCATTGAGATGTTTGAATTGAATTGAATTAAATTGAATTAGGTTTAATGTCACACGTACTCACATGAGTACAGTGAAAAGTTTACAAGTCGCCATATACGGTGCCATCTTAGGTACAAGGGTACCTTGGTGCAGAATCATAGAAACAAAGCAGAAAAACAAAGAAACAAGGTTAAAACGTTAAGCACTACAGTTCTCCTTACTAAAAAAGCAAAGAAACACAGTTAATAGTTCAACCTCCAACCTTTCTGAAGAAGGGTCTAGGCTTGAAACGTCAGCCTTCCTGCTCCTCTGATGCTGCTTGGCCTGCTGTGTTCATCCAGCTCTACACCTTGTTATTTCTAATAGTTCAACAATACAGTCCATAAGTATCTGGCCATGCTGGGCTAGACCTTGTCCCCCCCTCCACTGCTGCTACCCCAGCTGCCTGTTCTCACTGCTGGCCACCCCTGGCTGCCTGCACCTGCTCTCATCCCAAACTGCTACCAAACCCAAGGACTAATTGATTCACACTAATTATAAACTCTGCAAGGCCCGATCTCCACTCATGTATGCCAAACCTTAGGACCCTGTCAATGCCCCTACATTCCTTGGATGGTCCAGACCCATGACCGTACTTGGATGCTGTTAAGCAGCACTACTTTAGATTTCTCACTCCAACTTCTTTTATTTTTCATTTAGCAAATGATTTGGCCACTGTTTCCACCACTGCATTGAAGGCTAAAGATTGCTCAACTCCTCCCAGACAGAAGCACTCTGTTCTTCTGCTGTTGGTGCCTCTCATATACATAGCCTAAGGCTAACATTCCATTTTTCTGAGTGTCCGGTTTCCTCCCAAAGTCCAAAGATGTACATGTTAGGTGGATTCACCATGCTAAATTATCCATTGTATGCAAGCTGGGTGGATTAATCATGGCAAATGTGTTGGCATGTTGATTGACATGCATGTACCTTCCCAGCAACCACACAGCTCAGAAGGAATGTTTCAGAATAATCGACTCCTGCCCCCAGTTTGTACGTTCATTTCTAACATTTATTAAAATAAAATGTACTTAGATTGAGAATTTTGCCATCAGGGTCCAAAGAATCT